GTTGAGATGGGTGACGCTCGTACAGTTCCATCTGGAGGCGCGCAACATTGCTTGCTACCTTTGCCCTTGTACAGTGGTAGCGCAAGGGCATCCTTCAGATCAGCAGGAATCTCCTCCTCAATCCATACGCGTTGCACCAAGTGGTGCAGCGCAGTCGACAACGCGGGTCCACCGTGTTTCAATACTTCAGGTGGGATCTCGTCACCTCCGGCACATTTGCCGTTTCGCAGCTGAGCAAGTGCTCTCTGCGTCTCATCCAGTGTCGGCGTATCCGCCAGATCCGCCTTCACATCGTGCTGCTTCAGGCCGTTCAATGTAGGCCAGTCGATCTCTGAACGGTTGTTCAAGAGACATTCAAAGTGTTTCCGCCAGACCTGCATTATGTCTGCAGTCTGGGTGCAGGTAGCGCCTGAACTACCATCGATCAGTGTCCTCAGCGTCTCCAATCTCGGTCCATACACCGCCTTCAAGGAGTCAAAGAATTCCTTGTATTGGCGGCGTTCGGCGTAGCGTTCCATCTGCTTCGCCTTCTCCGTCCACCATGCATTTTTAATGCGACGGAGCTCTCGGGTCAGTCGCCGTCGAAGTTTGCGAAACTGACTCTTCTTCCCCAAGTCACTGGGGTCTGCAACATGTGCAGCAAATGCTGCATTCTTCTCTGACACCAATGCGCCGATCGTCACATTGTTGTCATCAAACCAATCAGGCCGTTTACAGTTTGCGCGCCCAATGGTCTCCTCGGCAGCAGCTGTCACCTGGTCGCGATTGTGGTGCCACAGGTCGCCCACTGTGGCTATGCAGTCCACATCACCACACAGGCGTGCAGCCATCGCCTTCTCCAGCTAGTACGTTTCGCCACAGTACCGAGGGAGAGAATGGTAAATTTACGCCGATTCACGGCGGGAGTACAACACATAGATTTACGAAAACATATGTACAGTTTGGTCCGAACCAATTTGTGATCAGGGCCACAGCTCCACGCAGTACACGTGTCATGCGCACTTCACGCATATCACGCTGACGTACGATGACATAGTCGAGCAGGTGAGCGTGACCACTCCGTGGGTGCGTCCAAGTTGCTATATCACTCGCACTCAGTGCAAACCGAGTGTTCGTGATCGTCAGGCCGTGAGTGGCACACAGTGAGAGCAGCCTGTCACCGTTCGCATTCGCTGAACCAATGCCATGCGAACCGATAACATCTGTCCACGCTGATGCATCACGCCCAACGCTCGCGTTGAAGTCACCCAGCAGAAATAGGCGGTCGCTCCTCGGCACAGACCATATCACGGAGGATAGCTCAGTGTAAAATTGATCACGCGTGTCATCAGGATAACACATGGTCGGACCGTATGTGCTTATAAAAGTAGCAAACTTACCTCTTCCGAGTCGTAGGCGAACAGTCGCGCGCTGATGCCCGTTGGTTCACCCACCAGCTGGCCATGGAGGCGATCGGATATTGCAAATCCGACCCCATGTTCACGTGGTGCTGAGGCGGCGTTGCCCACCCAGTAGAATGTGTAGCCAGCACCTGCTTCATGTAACTTACCTTGTTCAGCTAGCCGAGTTTCACTGAGCGCCGCAATATTGATGTGGTAGCGCGTCAGCTCCATTGCGACCAGTGCAGTGCGTCGCTCCGGGCGCTCGCTGGAGTTCCGGTCCAGTAATGTGCGCACGTTCCAGCACCCGATGCTGAGTGCTTTGCGCGCAGACATACGATTGCATTGGTGGGCAATCGCACGCGAGGTGGTCGTCGTGCTTCGGAGGTTTGCTTGAGGGACCCCATCCGGAGCCTTTGGCTCAATAGCCTGACCCACAAGGCAGTGGGTGGTTTGGAGGTTTGCTTGAGGGACTCCACCCGGAGCCTTTGGCTCAATAGCCTGACCCACAAGGCAGTGGATGGTTTGGAGGTTTGCTTTAGGGACTCCGCCCGGAGCCTTTGGCTCAATAGCCTGACCCACAAGGCAGTGGACTGCAGATCCAGCTCGGGAATGTGATTGCAGAGACAGATTGGGATCTGCTTGACGGCCGTCACACGCAGCCTTTGAGGTTCTGGAACAATTATCATATGTTTTGCGACCGTAATTGGATACGCACCTGCGACCACGGCCAGACGCAGGTGGGTTTTTGGCGGGTTTGCACCGATTTGACCAGGGGCTGCCTGGCTTGAGGCGGGCAGCAGCAAACCATTGAACACCCGGAGATGTCCTCCCACCGTCAGAGACAATGCGTGGCCCTCGTGCTCTACGCCAATCGAGCTGTGAAATTATAACCCGTAAACCTGTTGTCTCCCATGGCTAGGTTTTACGGGAAGTGGGCCATCGACCACTTCCTAACCTCCGAAGAGGATGGACTAGGATACTGCCAGGGCGCCCACACCTGACAGGAGAACGACTCGGGTCCTCAGCCAAAGCCTTCGATTAAATGAACACCCGAAAGGCAGCGGGTCTAGCACATGGTCAGTTGGCGGACTCATGCAGATTGGTGTCCTGGATCTTAGCAGGGAGAAGGGCGAAACCTAACTCCCACCCAGCGGTCGCCACGAGGAGGCGCCCAGGACATGAGCAAATGGCACAACAGTAGCAGCAATGGGTAGACCATCTGTCAGGATCTAGCCACCACCAGCCTCAGCGCACCATAGGCACCATACTTACATACCCCCTACACAAACACAAACTGCTATGGCAAACATAGCGAAGTTTTGCACATTCTTGATCATGCATCGTTATGTCAGAATGATCATGCCTGTAAAGGCGTGCCTCACCTTGTTGAGAATAAAAGATTTATTTATTACTTTCACAATTTCGAGCACCAGTCGTTGTGCGTATATGCCATATCCACATAGGCATTCGTACTTGTACAGAGCGATGGAAACGTTATCGAGAGCAGATATTGACTGTTGAGTTCCGTGGAGGATGACATCGGTGGGACCTAGTAGGAGACCATAAGACAGAATTGCTTATAAGTCTTCTAGATCATTGAAAGCCGACTGGTCAGCTGAGATTTCTCCTACTTTAAGCACTGTTGAAGGCGCGTACGGTAAGAACCACATTTTTTATCCGCGAAACTGCACATGATATCTGCAATGCGTTTATCCTTTGTTATTGTTAGGCGAATCCCAACTTATGGTCTCACCATTATTTTCAGGAGGAACTACTTATGAAAATCGAGCTTGGGGGTGGTGGGTCAGCCGAAAAGGCCAACCGCAGTACTACTGGGGTGGGGGAGTTCCAGGTTTACAAAAATGTGGTTGCGGTGTCGAGGGCACATGCACTGGGGACTCGTTGACCTGCAACTGTGACAGTGCCGGTTCGACCACCCTTCCTTTGGTGGACACTGGATTACTGCAATTCAAGGTGGGTATTCGGATCTCTTCCATGTGGTTAGTTTTACATAACTATGTAACCGCGGTTGTAGTTCCATTTCCTAATACATTGACAAAGTGGTCTTCCTTATTTCTGCGAAGTCCTCACCAAAGGATCTTTTCCCCATATGATAGCTTTGTCTTCCTAGCGTTTTCCAACCCACAGTGGGGCCATTTTCGTTCAGTGGTGGCTCCCGTGATAAGGCATCTTCATTGAGTTGAGCATTCCAGATAGTTAGTTATAGCTGACGCATCTTTTTAATCTGCATGGCAGAGGCTATTCTCACTAAAAATCGGAAATACCATGCTCATAGTATCTTCCTAGACAATTCGTTTGTTCTCCTCCTTACATATATTATTGTTTTTATTTGGGTTTACACTCACTGGCATTGTGTTCACCCTTGTAGTCTAACATCCGCTTTTCCACTTCCTTCCCTGCATGCACTTCTAAATACATGTTTTACCCATCAATCAAGGTTCACGAAACAGTTCTTATACCAAACTGCGACTTTTAAACCTGAACAAACACACTGGCTTTTACATCCCTAGGACTCACAAGGCGCACACAAATGATTGGCCTGATTTTAGGGGCACACGTTCCATACAGGTGGATTGGATGCCCCAGTGAGGCTTATTCGCAAACACTGCAAATCGCCACCGGTTTGGTTCTCTCACTGACTGTTCTGATAAATTTGGCGTGCTAACCACGAAATTGAACGCTGTTTTGCGAATATATTATTTCTAGAGAGAAAATAAGTAAAAGCTGTACAACACCATTGAACTGTTATCGTTTGTTACTAGCTTGATCGTTCCTCCTATTTTCACGTGCATTTCCAGTGGCAGGTAATTCATAGTAACAAGAGAATCACGCATGTGTGACACCGTGGTTGACACAGAAATGTGCTGTGGTTCGAAACATTGAAATACAAACGCACAGTCTTCAATTGCCTCACCGACTTGGCATCCACTATGTGTTCTGACAAACTGTTCCAAACACACAGCACTTGCCCATCTGAACACAGAGGACGGGCGACTCGTTTCCGACATGATAGTACCAATTTGTATTGGTATGCACGTGTGCAGCATGGCGTGCTTAATTGCCAAACTTGTCTTAACACGGAGAGTGACCGGAATGTGCCCTATTGTGGTCGACTTATACCCAATGATAAGCCACGGTATACATTTCAGAAGCACCTTTGTATGCTACCCACCATGAGCTAGTGAGGACTCTAGTATCAGCATATTGGATAGCTTTTAGTTACTACGGTTCTCCCTAAGTCATCAGACAGTAAGCAAGCGAGCCGTACTCTTGCACTCATATGATGATGAGGCAGCAAGTGTAGAAACTACGTCTGAGCGCCCGAAATAAGCGCTATCAGTTATGGTATAACCTGTTCGTCTTGTATACCGATTACATAGCGCGGCTTATAGGTATACCTGGGTCATCGAAGAAATATGGGGAGGTGCAGTCTGGCGTCGGGGTGTACTTTCGGCGATCATTACCAGTCCCCAGGCTCATGAATATGAACTTCATTGGGGTGACCGCGTGGCAGAATTTTACAGACCACATGGAAAAGTCGCCTGTATCTTACTGAAATAGGCCGTAGCCACCGGAAGGATATGTCACTCTCCACATCTTCAGGTCGTCCACAAACACGGCACAGAGCGATCTGAGAAGCTGGGTTTGAATGTTGATGTGAATCATGAACAAGATGGTCCCCGCACTGCCGCCTTATAGTACTCCACACTGCACGAAGGATACCAGTTGACCAGACTGCTTTGTTCTATTTTTCACATCTTGTTATTCCATGATTCATTAGTACCATCCTTTAGACTTAACTCCACCCACGGTAACTAGGTGGTTGAACTTTAACTGGATCTAAGTTTAATCCCACTAAAATTTCTACCACTTTTAATTCACTTCTCATTTTATAGGATGATCTACCAGTCATGGATGTTCGTTTTGGCGACACCGGAGGCATTAATGACAACAAGTACGCACGTTACCAAGTCGGACCGCTTCGCTGCTTCGGGGACACATTGTGGGATAACACAGTCACATTCCGCAAGCTGGACGCGAACCTAGAACTACCGCCGTTGTATTCGGAGTTCGCTTTCGATATGTCGTTCACATTTCGCACCACTATAACTGACGCTGTTATTATGCAGAACAACGGTCGGGGATCACAACAATTCTTTGAAGTTCGTATACGAAGTGGGTTTTACTCAGGATTGGTTATGCCCTAATCGGTACCGTAGTGTTCACTTTGTCTGCGTTCCTTCCCTCCCTTCATCAGTTCTTTGGTAGCTGCATTTCACGGCATAAGGCGGTTCCCCTAAATAAAGGTATTGTTTTTGGTAGGTGAACTTGAAACTTCTACTGCATTCACAGTGATTCCACGTCCCGCTATTTCATGGCACCGGCGTTTTAGTTCTCCGAGTTGTGACGTAAAAAATAAACCACAGTAAGCACTCGTTGGATTTGCACTTGTTCATATACTAGCGAGCTTAGTATTAGGAGGGTATCCGTTCCATCACCGAGCGAAATGATATCCTCCGTGTATAATGGTTTACAATAGAATAGTATGGGTGGATAAATGGTGTAGCCAGAAATTCATCACATCTAGACTCAGTCAGATAGCCATCACACACTTTGAGAAACACTGTATGGCCGTTTTATCCCCTCACTATAGTGAGCGACAATATATCACATCCAATAACTTGGCACGATAGTCGTTATAGTCCTCCGTAGCGCATTGGCTATGACCACAGACTGGCAACAGTCGGGTTGCGGGTTCGAGCCTCGCAGAGGTCAGATAGAATGCGCACTGCTGACGATTCCCGAAAGAAGGAAACGGTCGTGCAGGGCTTTCCGGCCATGAAACAACTGTCTGCCGGAATTTACACGTGATATATTTCCACGTAATACTGTTTGTTTAAAGATACAAATATCACTCCCTTATTTAATATAAAGGTCAGTAAAGGAAACTGCGCAAGCTGATTTTATTGATGGTGTCCCACTGGACTTATGTTCAACACTAAACTCGCGTTATTCAGAATCATCACTCGCCTTGTCTTTGAATACTATAACTTCGCATATGTCCACGTACGGAAGATAGACAGGAAAGTTGCGGAAGATTTGTAGAGCTCCATCACTAAACTTTTGTCCAGTACCACATCAACCCTAAACTACCATGTATGTTGTAAGCAGATTTATATTGAGCAGCTCTGGCTGCGACGTTTGAAGCAAAACGTGATGCTCTTACACAATTTATCACCTCAGAAAATGTAGTCCTAACTGCCTACTGTAGAGACAAGACAAGATGCCCATCAAAGACTCTGTAACAGGAAATATACGTTGCTTGTAGCAAGAGCTATAAAACCCACGCACTCTAACCTTTTCCTCATCAGATACGCCTTCTTTGAAAACCCTACATCATTCCTCATCCAACTCGTGTTTGTTTGATATGGAAGTGATATCAGTCGTGTTCTCATTCGACGGATAACGTGATGAAGTATTCCAGAGAGGACCATAATATTTATAGTGCTAAAAGGCCGTCAATATCCATTTATGCAAGAGCATAATCATTGCTGCAAATATTGACCTGTATCTATTTTAGGAATAGTTTTTGCACTTTAGAAAAATGTGCATATATATAAATGTATTTGACACCGACCAGCTGAAATAAGGCTGGACCTTACCGTGGTGCGATGGTTTGCGTGCCTCAGCGATCCCTTGAGTGACGCTGGGTGGTGCTCTTTTGCACTTTCAGAGCCAACCATACCAGATTGGTCAGTGGTTAGAGGCCAGACAAACTCAGCCTCCTGGTCCTCCAGGTTAGGGGTTGGAATGAGGTGGCTCCTTATTCATTAAAACGGACTCCTTGTAGTCCAATGCCAAACCCGCTGCCTTGCGGTAAGGTTTTTGAATCAAAGGCTATGCATGAGAACCCTAATCGTTCTCCAACAGTTGCCTGATGCTCTGGCCGTCGCATAGGATAAGCAACGTTGCCTTAACTGCTGCATCGAGCAGGGTGGAAAGGGGTTTGGAAGCCTACTCAGCTCCTTGTTTCCTCGCACGCTTTTTCACCCTTATCGTCCCTTTCCAGCTTCACTTTTATCCCCCCCCCCAGTTTTCAACCCCCCAATTAGTGGGCCTCCCCCACCTTGCTTTGCTAAGCGTTTATCTTCTAGTTTCGACCCACATTTGAACGCGGAGCATCATTCCTGCCTTGTCGGCAAGCGCATGTCCAACCAAACGGTCCATCTCAGTTCATCCTCTTCCGTTTGGATCCCTCGACCCTCCTTCAGAATGGCATGCCTCAGTGTACGCACACTTCTACAGATCATTCAACAAGCAGCACTTGCCCGAACATTAGAGACACTCCCCATCGATATCTGATCTTGATTCTAGACCCGTCTGCAAGACTCGAGCTCCGTGCTTACTCTGCGATCCAGTTCAGCTGACTTTAGCAGTATTTTCTCACTGCGCCTATCCGGTGATGATTCAGCTTCGAGCACCAGCCAAGCTGGTGTTGGCATTGCCCTAAGTCCCCGGGCTGAAGCTGCTCTGGTTGATTGGATCCCAGTCAGTAGCCGGTTGTGTGCGTTCCGATTGGCTGGCTTGTTCAAAGCTTCGAAGTCGCGCGGGACTAACAGGTGTTTATTCGTCATCGCAGCCTACGCGCCCACAAGCCGTAGCGATGATTAGATAAAATACGACTTCTGTCGCCAACTGAACGAGCTCCTTTGTCACAGAAGAAGGTCGGACACTGTTATGCTGGCTGGGGATCTGAACGCACAAGTTGGAAACTTGTCCACTGATGAGATGCAGCTGGGGGGTCAGCAAGGTGTTGACTCCTGTAACGATAACTGTGAGCGGTTATTTCATTTTTGTGAAGATGCCCGCTTATTTCTTGTGAGCACTAACTTCCGACACAGCACCCGCCGGAAGGTGACTTGGCGCCCACCAGCCTCGAATCAGCCTTGGAGGCAAATCGATCACATCACAATTATTTACAGATGGAGAGTCTGCCTCCAGAACTGTTGCTCGAACTGAAGCACATGTGTGGACACGGACCATTCACTTGTATCTGCTGGCATATTGAGGCGTTTTAGCGGATGGCCACGAAGACGCTGTGAGCGCATTGACACCAGTCAACTGGCAAAGCCAACTGTTCTGTATGCGTATCGAAATACGCGGACATGCGAGTTGAGTAAGCGCTCACTGATTACAATTAAAGGTCATTGGTCTCATGTAGCAGGACATTACCGTGGTGCGATGGTTTGCGTGCCTCAGAGATCCATTGAGCTATGCTGGGTGGTGTTTTTTTGCACCTTCAGAGCCACTCATACCAGATTGGTAAATGGTTAGAGGCCAGACAAACTCAGCCTCCTGGTCCTTCAGGTTGGGGTTGAAATGGGGTGGCTCATCATTTCATAAAACGGGCTCTGTAGTCCAATGCCAAAACCCACTGCCTTGCGGTAAGGTTTTTGAACCAAAGGCTTTGGTTGAGAACCCTAATCGTTCTCCTGTCTAGGCCTGGGCAACCTGACAGTATTCTGCCAACGCAATACAATGAACCTTTCCTACAATACTTTCTTGATGTTCTGGCCATCGCATAGGATAAGCAACGGCGCCCTATCTGCTGCATCGAGCAGGGTGGATGGGGTATGGATGCTACTGCTCAGGCCTTCCCGTCTTCTTATACCTCTTCTTGCGCTTCTTCATCCTTATCGTCCCGCTCCAACTTTACTTATATCCCCCCATTTTCAATCCCCCAATTCTTGGCCCTCCCCCAGCTTACTTCACTAGTCGCTTGTCTTCTAATTCCAAATCACACACAATCGCACTGCGTCGCTCCAATCCAGTCGACAAGTCCATGTTCAACCAAGCGGACAACGTCAGTTCCTCCGTTTCCCTTTGGAGTCCTCGTGTCTCGCTAAGATTGGCATGCCTCAACGTGCGCACTTTGCTACAGATTGGCCAACAGGCAGCACTTGCCCACACACTAGAGACCCTATCGATCGATATCTGCTGTTTATCAGAAATCCGCCTGCAAGCTTCGAGCTCCGTGCTTACCTTGCGATCCCCCATATGCGACACTGGCGGCACATTCTCATTGCGCCTGTCTGGCGATGATGCAGCTTCAAATGCCGGTCAAGCTGGCATCTACTGTTTTGAGTCCTCGGGCTGAAGCTGCCCTGATTGATTGGATCCCAGTAAACAGTAGAATGTGCGCCGTTAGATTAGCTGGTTCGTTCCGTGCTACGAAGTCGCGTGGGGACAAACAGTGCCTGTTTGTCATTGCGGCTTACGCCCCTACAAACTGTAACGCTGATTCGGTAAAAGATGATTTCTATCAGCAACTTCACGAGCTCCTTCGTTACAGACGAAGCACGGATACTGTGGTGTTGGCTGGCGATCTAAACGCCCAAGTCGGAAAATTGCCCTCTGATGAACTTCATCTGGGCGGCCAACATGGTGTAGGCTCCCGTAATGATAACGGTGAGCGCTTGCTACAGTTGTATGAAGATGCTCGCCTCTTTCTCGCGAGCACTAACTTTCGACATAGCACCCGCAGAAGCGTGACTTGGCGGCCACCAGCCTCGGGCCAGCCATAGACGCAAATCGATCATATCGCGATCAGTTACCACTGGAGAAGCTGTGTCCAAAACTGTCGCTCGATTTGGAGCACGAGCGTGGATTCTGACCACGCACTTGTCTGTGCCGATCTCTTGGTGCGTTTCGGTGGACGTCCGCAACGTCGAAGCGAACGGATTGACACCAGCCAGTTAGCGAAGCCAGATGTTCTGAATGTGTACCAAGATGCGCTGACATCTGGGCTGAGTAAGCGCCCACTAAACACCGTTGAAGATCACTGGTCGCATATTCGTCAAGCGTTGCTGTTAGCAGGCATGTCTTCATGTGCCAAAGAAAATTGCCAAACCGGACATCGGGCCTCTACGAAGTCTCTGGAACTTATGGATGCTTGCCGACGCATTCCGGTTGGAGGGAATACAATGAGACTCGCAAAAATCTCAGGGCAAAACTACGTGCTAGCTTAAAGAAGGACCGCGAAACCTGGTGGTCTCATCGTGCCTCTGAGATGGAAACAGCCGCTGCCGTTGGTAATCATCGTAAGTTATTCCGTCTGATACGGGAAACAGGCAGCAGGAGACCTGGTGTTAGCGAGACCATACGCGACGAGAGTAGGCAGCCGATCCACGGTCTGTCGAAACGCTTG